TCTATTAATCGAATAATCTTATTTGAAGTGTTTTAGCAAAAAGGAGAAAAAAGGAGGGATATGAAATTAGTGTGAGTATGCGGATTTATAGAAGGCCGTCTTAGCCACAGTTAAAGTAGATTTGTTAGACTTGTACTGAAAAGCAATTTCTATTAAACTGTAATTCAAAAAAAAGAGAAGTCGTCCTAAAATGAAGTTACATTAATAATGATAATTCTTTAAGAAGTCAAACTACTGCTCTCTGACGAAAAAATTTCTATTTCCTACTCAAAAATAAAAAATAGAGACAAAAGTGCTTGTCAACACCAAGGTGGAACTATCTGTGCTAAATTTGCGTGTTATATAGTGATGACTAGCTGGAATTTTCAGCTTAAGTATGCGCGGAATATTTAGGCCTAAAAACCCACTATTTTGAAAATTTGTTTCTGTGGTGCTCGGAGTAAGAAAGAAACCTTCAAAAACCCGCTCCGAGTAAAAGTTTCGGTGAAATGAAATCAGTGCCAGTTTTGTGGCCAAAAATGTTTATCGCAAAACCCTGATAGTGATTCTAACATTAGAAGTAATTTGAAGATGACTGCACCATATAAGTCTTTCTACGGCCAACATGTTAAAAAATTTATAGATGAAATACGCTGAGGATACATCGCATAAAAAGGAATTGATTGGTAACTCTGCTAACCTCTCGAACGGGCAAATATTCTCCTTTGTGAAATATCAGATTGAAGTCCACATGGACCACACATCCTTCGGTAACATCAATCAATATATTTTCACCATGTCGATCACCTGAAACTTTTCTCTTCCAAACCATTCAACGCGAAAAATTGTTTACCTAATCCGAGCACAAATCCAATCATCGACATGACAGCACATGACCGCGAAAATGCCAAGCGAGCTGCGTACCATACTGATGGATCCAAAAACTGTCGTCTAAACAATTCTAATGTAATAGAAAGTGAAAGGTATTGACAGCAATGGATTAGGCACGACATACAAGCAATAGAAAGTCGCTGAAACCAATATTTGGATTCACTACTGATTAGCCTTTGAACAACCACATATTCAACACGGTTTCATGTATGTTCAACATGGCTTGTACTGCCTTCTTCCTGCCATTTTCACACGTACTTCAACATTTATGGATAACTTACTAGCTTGCATCAAAAATTTCTCAAAGTAATTTATAGAAATTTAACCGGAAAGGTTCTTTAAACGCGATGGATTGTACAGCTGGTAATAATTTGTTTGAATTGATTGAACTTCAAATATGAACTCTGCTCGCAAATGGGGACATTGAGAGTATATGTTTTTCTTACTTTTATTAAATTAGTTAAACGAAATTTGGGCAGACCTAGTTATAGACGTGGCTAGTAAAAGATGAAGATAAGATGCAGCTACCTTCTTACAAT